TCTCATTAAAATTTGCAAAAAGCAGAGAATGTCAAAAAATGGACTTAACCGCATTGACTTCTGAGCAACTCATATATTACTATTACCATACTATATATTATATACTCATAGGTATATGCCTTCAAGAACTCGCACCTTATTCTTTTGATACTAATTTTGGCATTCAGCAAAAATATAATAGACCTTTCTCAAATACACACTACAATTCTGCGAAGAGATAAAAAGCTGGAACCTAACCTCTAAAACTCATCGCGTTAATAATCGATTGCATCTTTTAATCCACGCTTAAACGTTACAATTACGTAAAACTAAATTTCTATGATGCTCCATAACTTCACAGACCCTAGCAAACTAGGTTATGTTCACCATCCTCCATTTACCACTGAAACTGTCTTAAATTTCTCTTGTCTGACCAATAATTCCCGCTCTCTCAGGCACCAACCGTGGGCTAGCAACTCCACCTGATGATCCACCGAGTGGATCCAAGGGGTAACAAATTTTCCTAACCGAGTCGAGCACGACCATCCGTATTATCTGCGAACGTAGGTGGGCAGATTATCGCGTTCCAGCTTGTAACTACCGAAAGGTTTGTTGTTGTGAATATTGTTTACGGCCATGTGCGCGTACACGCGAGGGTTCCGTGATCCGGGCACGTATCGCCCGTATCGTGACAGGACGAGGGCTAAAATAGGATTGGACGGTGGATGTAGCCCGCTGTTGTAACTATCATCGTTTAGAACCCCGCTCAGGAAGTGATCGAGGGCTTTGATGGCCGTCGTTACGTCTTGCGAATTACGATGGGGATTCGTTGTCTGTGCCTTCCCACGATAGGCCAATCCTGCATGATCCGAATGGTCCGTTAGGTATTCATCGGGCTCTTCTACAACTTGATACGACCGTGGAACGTGGGGATGATATTCGACCTGGGCCAGCAGCTGAGTTCTGTTACTGGTCCCGAATGATTTAGTCTCACTCTCACTTATCGCTGTTGTTCCGGAACTTTGGAACACCTTGGCCGATCTTAAAATGCGAATACGGAGCAGCGTTATCGATGGTCCGAGTAGAGGGCGCAGCTAGATTAACGCCAATCTGCCACCATATTGACTTGGTAATCTGGGGTTTTGGTAGTCCGTAGTTCTCGTTTTAGCGATAATCGCGCGGTGTTTTGTGGGAGAATAATGGTTCACTTCGATAAGGAATCGTATGCAAATTAAGACGTAGAATTATTCTACTTCGACATTCCACGCATCGTTGGGTAATTTTAAATTTGATATATTAATTAACATCGATCTTTAGAATCTGGTCAAATGGCGACTGAGAGGCGTCTCTCGAGTGCAAAGAATTATATTTTATCGTTACAAGAATTGTGATTTTTGAGGTTATGTGAGCCTAAACTTTTTGTTGAAATTAATGAATTTTATTAATTTCATTGTTTCGTATTGAATTCTTTTGTAACCAATATGCATCAAAATTATATATATTAATAATTTAATTTAGTATTTGACACTTTCTAATAAAGGGTGTCCAAAACTTCATGGAAGATTTGAATTAAAAATGGAGTGCTACATGAAGGAACAACGCGTCTTTTATTAAAAACCTGAGTTTTGTATCAAAATTACTTATTACGCGAATTTTGGGACATTCTTTTCTTATTTATTACTATTATAATATTACTGTATATATTATTAATAAAATCATTATAATATTAACAAGTAATAATATTCTAAAAGAGTACTGATAAAAAGAAGAAATAAAAATTAAAAATGGCGCGTGAAGTGATGCAGATTCGCGGGAAAGGCGGATTTAAGTATCTCTTTCCCGCCATCTTGTCGACCAGAGTAATATTTCATGGCCGATTTAATCTCCCGGCAGGACGATTAATCGAAAGTACGTCTAAAATATCCCCTTCGTTTGTAAATTAAGAGACCATCGATCCATCTCTCGCAATTAGTTGAAAGCGAACAGTTGAGAACTAATGGACCACCATCGGGCATTAAACAAACGGGAGCGTCTCTTCGGCCATTTTAATACCCCGGACAAATCGCGAGGGACCTAACTAAAGAGCCTAACAGCTGATTGTAACCGGCGGGAACACTCGACATACTTTTCAATTGTGCGCTACGGTAAGTGAATTCTTACCTCTGCTTATTATCAGCGATTGATTTAATCGTCTGATCTCTCAATGGTAACTTCAGGTCGATCGATAGAGGTTTCAGGTACGAATACCCGGCCTGCGTTTGTCTTTCAGCGAAACCGCTACCTGTGACCCCGTCTTCCAACCCATTGTCCAAAGCTTGGTTAGCGAAAACAGCGTGTCGAGAAAGTTTTGGAAGCCCTGTGTTCGTAGTTGGAAGGTAACTAAGGAACGGTGGTTGTAAATTCGTTAACGGTTGGATATTCCTGGGTACTTCTGTCGTCAGTATACCAGAGGCCAAACAGCCAAGCGACACCTGAATTCGACAATTTTCATCCTGGATTATTACCCTCGGGTACTGTATCGTCATCTCAGAGTTTTTCAGTTTATGGTACTAGTAATTTGAGCGTGTACAGCACGAAAAGTGTCGGTTTAAAGATAATTGAGCTCTGGTAGGACCATTTTGAGGAAAATTAATCCGAAACATTATGCAATTCCGCAAATAATAAAATGGAGACCAGTTAACACTTTGACTACCACGCATGTTTTATATGGTGCGTTCAGAAGGCCAGGATAAAATTTTCATTATTTTTAGGATGTAATGGTGAATTATTAAACAATATGGCAAATGAAAAACAAAATGATGCAAATTATTTATGTTTTCTATTCAAAGGGGGCCACGATAAAATTTCCATTATTCTTGGGATATAATGGTGAATTATTAAACAATATGGCAAATAAAAAACAAAATGCTGCAAATTATTAATGTTTTCTATTCAAAGTTCTCTATTTATTTACGTTGTTCAAATTTTCAAAAAATGGTTAGAATAAAACAAATATAAATTAAAAAAAATTCGTATCGCCGGATATTGGTGATCACCATGGCCCCACACTGATGACCACCATGGCAGTCAACGTGTTAATAAGACCGCAGTTAATAAAATAAAATTGTTAATAAAATACCTAACCTTGATGGGTACTACAATTGTGTAAATAGTAAAGGATGGCACAAAAATACTAGAAATTAAATAAGTAAAGAGTAATGAAATATAATATAGGAGAAAGTAGTAAAAATTAATAAAACTAAAAAAATAAAAGAATAGAAAATACTGGAAGTAATAAAAAATAAAAAGAAGATTAATAAATGTAACAACGAGAAATGGTAAAAGAATAAAATAATGAAATTATAAAAATATTAATTGTAACAGTAAAATAAAAAGTAAAAGTTGATCTCTTTTCATTAATTCTATGCTAACATAATCTAGGTTGAAATAAATTTCCATTTGATCATTTCAGTTTCAATTTTAGATAAATTTTCAATTTAATAATCTGGCTTCAAATAACCAATCTTTGAAAAGAGAGAAAAAATAGTACTACATCACTTAAATACCAAAGACAACTTTTTAATACTGTCTTAAGATAGTTTGAAAAAGGTACTTTAATCATTTTCAATACTTCATAATTTTAAATATAAATATAATTTTAAATTGAATATAAAAATTAAAATAAATATATAAATTAAAAGTAAATACAATTTTAAATATGGTATAATTTCATCTAGTTAAGAAAATTTTAAAAAGAAGAGTTTAATTTTACCAGGTAAAAAGCAAGAATATCCACGGCGCTGGCTAACATTCTGGAAGGTTTTTGAAGGAACTAAAACGACAGTACGCACTTGGCGTTCTTTTTATATCCTATAACGCTACCTGCCCTAAGAGCGAAGTCTTGTTCGCGGCAGGAAATGTATACATCTTGTAAGTACGTATCTATTTACATACTAAAAGATCTCCGACTTTCTCTTTCTTCTTCACGTGACGAAATCTCTAATTACCTGTCATTATCATTCCGCACGAGATTTTTTTAATTACGCGTTACTATCGTATGGATATACCTTACCGATGGAAAATTTCTGCTCTAGACGAGTACGCGCGTTCTGGAGGTATATTGACCGATGTACCGACCTTCGAGAAATCTTAAACGTGTTCAGAACTGAAGACGAAAAGTAATAGAAATAAGTAAAGTAATAATATAGAAGCCATGCATAGTGAAAAAGATAATTAAGAAATAAATTTCTTATTTCCACTTTGATTTTAATGCAAGAATAAATAATAAAATACTGATTTTCTAAAAATAATCAAAAAAGTCGTATGGTAAAAATAACTTAACAAAAGTTGGTTAGAAAGTATGAATCTTCTTTTCTGTATCAGTATGATTAATACTTCCGGAGACATAGATTCCTTTAGATCTCTAAGGTATTTAAAAATCAGTAAGAGTTTATGACTTTTTTAAATAATTTTATTAATCTTGAAACTGACTAGCAGAGATAGTAGCTTTATAATATATTTTCGACTATGTTATAATATTATACATATATTTCTAATTAATAATTTTTTTGTGGATTACAAAATATTGTTCACTGTTTTATTATTTGTACAATAATTAAAATATCAGAATGGGATATAATTAATATATATTTCTTTGTGAACGTAAATCATGTTGTAATGTAACAAAAAGGGGTAAGAAAAATAGTGATAGTTGTGTAATAGTTGTAAGTATTATCTCATAGATTGCGCTGTATGGTGGTTCTAGTTTGTCATGTCGGTAATTCCATAGGGAAAAGTTCCAAAAATTGAACTAAATAATGACAGCACTAGGTATTTTACTTCCTAACTTTGTCATTCCAGTGTTTATTCATTTATATTTTATAATTAATTAGGAGCAATATGTAGTTAAAATTTGTAAAGCAATGTAATATTCTTTAAACGCTAACATATTGCATAAATATTACACACCGAATGGAATTTCATTTATTTCTGAATAGAATTTTGAAAACTCGCCTAAACGCAATTCCCGCCAAATTATTCTTGCGTGTTCTTCTATTGTTGAGTTACAATTTTGTAGATATAGACTGTTTGTTAGTTATTTAGGAAGATGGATGTTGGAGATGTACAGAATAATAGAGCACGTGTACCCGATGAAGTTGGAATCAAATGTCAAAAATTGTTTCAAGATTTCTTAGAAGAGTAAATTTTTTATTTTAGTGAAATATTTTTTTATATTTTTTTGAAATTGATTTTACTTCTGTTTAATAATCAGATTTAAAGAAGATGGTGTTGTAAAATATCTTGAACCAGCCAAAGAACTTATAAGTCCAGAACATAGTACGTTAGAAGTAACTTTTGACGATGTAGATGAATATAATCAAGTACTTTCTACCACTATTGTTGAAGAATATTACAGGTAAGATTTTGTAATGTTCTTTTATGAAATGGAAAAGGTATTTGTTACTTCGGAGTTTAATTCGTTGCACAGTCTAATTCATTGTTTTCCTTTAATAATCTATAATCTTTTAGAGTTTATCCATATTTGTGCCAAGCAGTCTGTAATTTTGTCAAAGATGTTGCAGAATTAAGGAAGGAAAAAGAATGTTATGTAAGCTTTGTAGAAGTGCCAACTAGACAAAAATTAAGGGAATTAAATTCTTCAAAATTAGGCACTTTAATACGTATATCTGGTCAAGTGATAAGAACACATCCGGTTCACCCAGAATTAATATTGGGAACATTTATTTGTATGGATTGTAATGCTGTCATAAAAAATGTGGAACAACAATTTAAGGTACAGTTTCTTTATTATAAGTATAATTGTACCAAAGTTATAATTATGTACAACATTAAAATTTGCAATATATAAAATTATTTACATTGATGATTTGCAGTTCTCAAATCCCACAATTTGTCAGAATCCAGTATGCAGTAATAGGAGACGTTTTATGTTAGATGTAGATAATTCTATATTTGTTGATTTTCAAAAAATCAGAGTGCAGGAAACACAAGCAGAACTTCCTAAGGGCTGTATTCCACGTTCTTTGGAAATAATTTTACGAGCTGAAACTGTAGAGACTATTCAAGCTGGTGATAGGTACTTTACTAAAAGTAATTAGATAACACTGTTAATTTTTTAAGATTTTCATACATCTTATTTGTATTTTTTAGATATGATTTTACAGGAACAATAATCGTGGTACCAGATGTAGCAGTCCTTTCCCTTCCTGGTGTAAAAGCTGATCTTAAATCGAGGCGTCAAAAACCTACAGAACAAGGAGAAGGTGTAACTGGACTAAAAGCTTTAGGAACACGTGAATTAACATACAAAACAGCATTTCTGGCTTGTAGTGTTGCTGCAACAAGTTTCAGAGTATGAACAATTAACTAGCAACAATTGTGATAAAAATATTTGTGCATATATGTATATATTTTTTATGTGGTTAATATTTTTGTCTGTAGTTTGGTGGTACCGAAACAAATATGGAAGAAATTTCTCAGGAAATGATGAAAAAACGAATGTCAGAAGCAGAATGGAACCGTATATATGAAATGAGCCGGGATAAAAATCTATATCAAAATCTTGTTAATAGTTTATTTTCTTCGATACACGGTAGCGATGAAGTTAAGAAAGGAATTACTTTAATGTTATTTGGTGGTGTTCCAAAAACAACATTAGAGGGTACTTCCTTACGTGGTGATATAAATTGTTGTCTTGTTGGTGATCCTAGTACAGCGAAATCTCAATTCTTAAAGAGTGTTGCTGAAATTACACCAAGAGCAATTTATACTTCGGGAAAAGCATCTTCTGCAGCTGGATTAACTGCCGCTGTAGTAAGAGACGAAGAATCACCGGATTTTGTTATTGAAGCTGGTGCCTTAATGCTTGCTGATCAAGGTATTTGTTGCATTGATGAATTTGATAAAATGGACCCCAGGGATCAAGTATCTATACACGAAGCTATGGAACAACAGACAATTTCATTAGCTAAGGTTTGTTAATAAAAAAATAATAATTAATATCAAATTTAAATATGTATTCAAGAAATATATCTTTAGGCTGGGGTAAGAGCAACATTAAACGCGCGAACATCAATATTAGCAGCGGCAAATCCCGTAGGTGGACGATACGATAGGAAAAAATCTTTACAACAAAATGTTCAATTAACGGCTCCTATTATGTCCCGATTTGATTTATTCTTCATTATAGTTGACGAATGCAATGAAATCGTTGATAATGCAATCGCTAAAAGAATTATTGATTTACACTGTGACAATTGGCAAGATTTTGAAACAGCATATTCACAGCAAGAGATCGTTAGATACATAAATTTTGCTAAACATTTTAAACCTATATTAAGTCAGGTATTAATATACATTTCTAAAAACGAAGTTGTTAATCAATTCATGTGAATTAATTCTTTGGAATCCTTATAGGAAGCTGCAGAATTTTTAGTTGATAGTTATACAGCAGTTAGACAAAGAACCGGTAGTAGTTCCGGTAAATGGAGAGTTACAGTTAGACAGTTAGAAAGTCTCATTAGATTATCAGAAGCTATGGCTAAATTAGAATGCTCAGATGAAGTTACAGTAAAACATGTTAAAGAAGCAAAACGTTTATTGAGTAAAAGTATCGTTACTGTGGAACAGCCGGATATAGATTTAGAAGAAGCCGAAGATGGAAATATGGATGTCGATATGGATGATGCTCCACCTCTTATGGCTGCTCTTAATGCTTTGGGCAATGATAAAGAAACAGAAACTCCTACAGGTAAATTATTTTATTTTATATACGTGTGAATATTTGTAGAAAATATCTATCTTTTATATATTTTTTCATTTTTACGTTACATTTATAGGAACGCAAGAGGCACAAAAAAAGAAACTTACAATGTCTTTTGAAGAATACAAGAATTTATCTAATATGTTGGTGTTATATATGAGGAATGAAGAAACTCGTGCTGAAACCGATGATAGTGGTAAGTTGCTCGTGATTATTTATTAGTAAATATTTACTTTAAAATGTATATTTTTTTATACAGAAGATAATAAAGGTGGCTTAAGAAAATCGGAACTAGTAGCATGGTACCTCGATCAAATACAAGATCAAATAGATTCGGAAGAAGAGTTATTGGAAAGAAAAAATTTTATTGAAAAAATTATTGAGAGGTTGACCTATCATGTACGTCTTAAAACAGTCATTTAAAATTATTTAAACCACATTAATCATATTTTAGTCATTAATAGTTTCTAATTATATTCTAGGATCAAATCATAATACCTTTAACTACTACAGATCTAAGAGGCAGAGATAAAGGAGATGATGATGATAATGATGATCCTTTGCTCGTTGTGCATCCCAATTATATTATTGATATTTAAGTCTTTATAATACAATCGTATTGTTAATTAATACATTACCATTTATAAAAGAATAGCAAAGAAGGGTAAACATTAGAATTATTTTTTGAACGAACGATAATATTTTGCTTCTCTTAACATAATAAAATAAAAGTTTACCCTTTTTTGCTTGAATTGAAAATATTGAACTTATGATTCAAAAACGAAAAGAATGCCATTGTATTTTTACACTTTTTTAAAATATAACTTAAAATAAATATTTATATTAATATACAGTGTGTATTTGTTTCATTTATTATTAAAACAAGTAAATTGTAACAATTTAACATTGCTGTAACAAAATAGCTGTTAATAACGTTAATTATCGTGTAAATCGCTATGTTAACCCTCTCCTATGCCCTAGTTTTATGGATCCTATTAGACACCTAAGAACGATAATGTAGCGCTTACAAAACTGTCATTTACATGTCTGTGACGTGAAGATGGTTTCGGTAACCGATCGTCCAACAGAATAGTATTTCATTACACTTTCAAGAAGAAGAATTTAAGAATACTTGGGTATCGAATTCTACAAGAGTTATTCATATACTTCACTGCTCTCAAGAAGTAATATTTATTTAAAATATAGTTAAATGGGCTCATCGATTTAAAGCAAGTAAACTTTTTTCAAAGATTTAAAAGTGAATGTAAATGGCGATAAATATTTAAAAATATATTTAATTTAAAAATAATTCTCTCAAATTGATATTTTCTTCCTAACAATAACAAGTGTCTTGGAATGGAATACATACAGTTTCGAGGTTTTCATGGCTCAATATCATAGTTATTAAAATCAAAATTTACAAATGTAAACCGTAAATTTGTTATAAAAAATATCCCCTAATACGAGTATTGCAGCTAATTTCAAGAGTCGAATAACATGAGACATTGATATACGTAGCTCTTTATCACTAACAACTAGTGGGGGAATTTGCACAGTGGTTAAAAGGATTTACTTTTGAGACGAATTTGTAGTGTTTTATATGAACCTATCATAGAATGACTGTGAGAGAACGATCGGAAGGACCAACGCGTCACGTGAGTGTTAAAAGTTAGATAAGATACATGTATTTATAACTATAATTAAGACAAATAATTATAAAAAAAAATAGGAATATTCACGGGCGGTTTTTACCGGGAACTTTGCCATCTTGCAAGAATTCTTGCTAGAAAAGGAAAGTTTTTTTTGGAGCGTGCTCCGTTTGGTTGACTTTTTACTAAGAGGCTTCAGTCAAGTAAGTTGTCAAATATTTATGCCAAATATTATAAATGATACACTACCATTTACATCCAAAAATCTGTGAAAATCAAGATAAAAGTTAGTTATTATTACTGAAAGATACATAGATTTTCTTTATAAATTTAAAAACCAATTTATAATACGAAAATTAACAAAAAAGTAACAAGAAAGTTTATAGATACAAACCAGAATAAAGAAATACTTGTAGGAACATTATTATCGAAATGTTTCGATATATGAAATGTAAAAATTGATGAAACAAAGATTTATATTTAGTCCATATAAATTTACAGGTTGCGTTTGCAAATAATCCAATTAGTGGGCTATTGATAACGATTTCTTTAGCAGTTAGTTCCCCAGGCACGTTACTCTTCTCAGCGGCTACCGGCCTTTTAGGTCTTCTTTTATCTGTGGTATGTACTTACAGTAGTTGTTGCATTAAACTCATAGAATTAACATTTAGTCAACATTTCTCCGTTCAAAAAATGTCCAATCATCTATCTCCTATTTGCATATTTAACGTGAATAAATAGTACATACGATCTGTTTGCACACTGTCGATTTGTCCAACGCATTCTTCGTTCGATTTCCTTGTCTTTCTTTCCCCATTCCTTTCTTTAACAATATAACACATTGCCATATGATGGCAAAGTAGAATGACTGCAATGCGGAATTTCTAGCGTGATATTAATATGATCGCGCTGCGGTACATTTTTCGCGCTTTTTTTCGTTCGCACATCTTACAATAGATTTTGCAACGTCGTGTTTTAAAACGATCATATTTCGCTTCCAGTTGATACAGGAATCGCAAGATATTATCGCAAATGGGTTAACGGTGTTCAACCCACTGTTAGTCGGTGCTGTGTCCTATAGTTTAGTACCAAACATCTATGGACCATTTGACAGTTTCAGTATACTTTTGATTACTTTGACGACGATACTCAGGCAAGTTTCCACGTGTTCAGCGGCTTAACGTTTGCTGTGCAATAGTTGCTATAATGATATTAAGTGGTAATTATGGCGAACATGGAATTGTTTTTTGTTGCGTTTTGTTACGTTCTTGTAAATATTTATGCAAAATATTAAAATATTGAGTATTCAGATAGATCAGGCCAACAGTAATTTATTTCCTTGTTATTTTCACGTAAATTGAATATCAGTTAGGTGTGTTCTTGTAAGTTGCAAATCTCGGCATGTATTTTGCATTTTTGCTTAGGAATTCTATGTAATTGTTAAATTATAAATTCTTGTCGATGATTTCTTGCAATTTTCTTAGAAATAGTTCACCGTATTGTAGACTGAATTTACATTCATTATTCATTAATTTCAATATAAACCATTCATTATTATTAACATTTATTTCTTAGACAATTTTTTAAATTAATTATCAATTACTATATTCAAAAACCCCCAAAATTTTTGGATATAATTGTGATCTTATAAATTACTTTATTTTATCTTATTTTATAATAATTTGTTCTTTAATGTTTTAAATTGTTTTAAAAATCATTTTAATAGTTATTTCTTACAAAACTTTAACTTGCAAGTAATATTCTAAATCCTAATCAGAATTACAGACTTTATTGGTTTATCAAATATATTATCACTAATTGTTAATTTATTATTTAGACATTATGGAAATATTATTGAGTTTAATATTTTAGGATAAAAATAAGTAAATAATTTTACGATATAATATTTTTGTATAAACTAAATTCAAATTCAAATGCAGTAATCATATCAGGCTTTTTGTTAATTTTAATAACGATCAATATTTGCAGTGTTTACCTGGCCCGGTCTCTAAGAAACAATAAGTTACCATCCACAGCGTGGCCGTTTAATCTGGTTGAATTTGCGTTGCTCTTTGTCCTGTATACCAAAGACAATGGACTTGATACGATGGAGAAACTGCATCCAGTTACGACAATGGTAATAGAGTTTGTTATGAGCATACATCTTTAGCATTGTTGCGAAATATGACTTCTTAAATGCGAATATTAATTTTTGGTTATTAACATTTTAAATTTACATACCAATTTTTTAAATTATATACGCTCTCCATAATAAATATAGCTGAAGAGTTTTATTCATTCACTACAAATTAATTTTTATATATGTAAAATTTTCCGAAAATTTTGATTAGTTTCTGAAAATTTCAGATTTATATTGATTAACACTAAACCTATCATGACCGGTAAAATAACCGATGGATGGAAAAATGATAGAAGGGAAACTTCGGAGAAAATGGAATAAATTAAAATATTGAAAATTTGATAATACACGTGTTAAAGGGAAAATCGAGGAGTCAAATGAGCAAAGAGACAAGGTTGAACGCAGAATTTTTAATTAAATATCTACAAACGATTATTTAGGCTATGGTAGGTTTAGTGTTAAAGGTAATAATGGCTAGATTTTATGACGTGAAAAATATTAATCATTATATACATTGTTGATATTAAATACAGTCATAAACTTTTCTTTGTTTATTGAAAATTTATTTTCATGTATCAGAGGTTAGAAAATTATTATTTATCATGGATGGAAAGTGTACAGGATGCTCATTCCAATGGCGTTTACTACAATGTAGTAAAAAAAGGTATTAATCAAAATTTATATGTGTTGAGTATACAATATATAACTATAAGAGACATGTTGAAAATTTTCCAAGGTTACCTTGAATTTTTCTCATAGAAATATATATTTTTTTATTTCATTACACTGTAGGTAACGTTAGGAGCTGTTTAGCCAGTATAAAATGTGGCTCTTTTACTTAAACAATTTTTAGATTAATTTAATGAAAATATTTAATTATCAGATTACGTAGATCTTGTAATGTGAAAATGAATTTTGTGAAATGTGATCTCTTCCACATTTGTTCACATAAAATATAAAAATTTACAAAGGACAACGTCACTGTACCATGTAAATTAGGAAAACGACACGGTGACAATTCATTTTTGCTTGACATCATTCTTTATTTTCGAATTTCACTTATATTTCAAATACCAGGGCGAAAACATGTCTTCATACATGTTCCATGCTCGAAGTACGAAAACGATCTGTCATAAAGATATCGCCTGATAACTCAATGTACACATAAAGATTTATTACAATACTCGCTATGATGATGCTATTACAAGGTTTATACCAGCAGAACATTTGTCATTAGCTCTTACGTAATAATTAAATACCTTACATAAGAAATCACCATTTCGTTCACTTATGTATTCATTTAAACTACTAAACAATTATCAGTAAATTCTATTCTTTATAGACAAACTATTGCAATTGACTATAATCACTGAATTATATTACAATTAACTATTATTACTATTGACAGATTATTACTGAAGCAATTTCTTTAAATATGAGATATTACAATTACCTCTATTACCGATCATAGATATCAATAATATCTTTTACCAATAATGGATAATTAGTGAAACATAACCTTTAAATATAAATTATTGTTACTAATCAAAGTTCATCTATATATATATTTTTTTTGCGTATATACAAAGATTAATTTTAATAACCCTACGAAAGTTTTGAGTAATCTACGCGAATTTCGAGTTCTTTTAATCGGGTTTGCATTTACCTACGTACACATACATATATCTAACTTGCTTATTTATTCGAGGTTAGTCGAGATCAAAGGCGTATCAGTATTTTTAGTTAAACAGTATAACAACTTTGGTTTAGGTTGACTTAGATTTTATAGTTCAGAGCTACTAATCTGAAGCGGTATAAATAACCATAACTACCATGTAACTGAAAGCATGCAAATATTGGTAACATGGAAGAATTTTAATAGCTGGATTTCAAATTCCTCACGAAGTTACATGTCAATGAAAATATCAAGCAAATTTCAAAGCCACCGATTTTTTTTACAAAATTATACGTTTTCGAAGGTTTCTAAATGTAGTTCATATTTTTACGAATTCAATAATTATAGTGATTCGGGATCGATCAAGGATATTAATTGACAGGGAA